TGGGCGCCGGGGCGGGGTGGGGAGGGGGGACTGGCACCGCGCGGCACGGAACCCAGGGCCGGGAGGAGCGGGGCGGACCCAGGGGGAGAGGTGGAGGAAGGGGTAGGGTAGACCGGAGGCCAGGGCAAGGGGCCTGGAGGCGACAACCTGAGTTAGCCGCGGACACATGGACAGTAGTGGTGGCAGAGGGCCCAGGGGTTGGAGCAGGGAGATGCCAAGGCTGAGGGGGGGTAACAGGTGGCTGACCTGGTGGGAGTCTATGTCTCTCTGATTAGGTGCACCAAGGACCAGATCAGATGTTTGTGGGGCAAGTGGCCTATGTTCACAGGCTGCCCCTAGCACCCTACTAACCTGAGGCGCTGCCTAGGGGAACCAGGGATGGCGTGTCTCAGCACCCACTCACTGTGGGCCTTTCCCCACCCAGGTCCCCAGCCCCAGCTTCCCAGGGACACCCAGCTCCCCAGCCAGCACTTCTCTGGGCAAGAAGACAAGGAAGCTCGTCCCCCCAGCAGGCCAGCAGCCCCACCTGGTGTCCGAAGGGGACAGGGTGAGCAGGGGGGCCATGGGCGGGGGCAGAGCTTGGTGACATGGGCTTGCTGCTGGACCAACGTGCATTCTGCCCCAGGTCCTCAGGAAGGACACAGTCTCCGAGCTCCAGGCCTGCCTGCAGCGGGCGCGTGAGCTGGGCGCACGAGTCCAGGCTCTGAAGGCCACCGGGCAGCAGGAGGACGCTGGCCAGTCCAGTACAGCAGAGTCCGAGGGGTGCCCATCAGAGTCATGGTGAGTCTGGTGGGGCTGTGAGTGCCGCCTGGCACCCAGGACGGGGTGGGTTGGTGCGATTCTGGCAGGTGGGAGGGCAGACACCCACACCCGTCCTGGGTGATGACACCTGCCTGCCTTGCTGTGTGCATTTCAGGCTCTCAGTGCCTGCTCGCTGACTACTCTGGTGGTGGCTGCCACAGTCCTCAGAACCTGTCAGCCTTGTTCCTGTTGGAGAGGGGGGGCTGGGAGGTTCAGGAGCCCCCTGGACTGTTGAAGTCCCTTTGATTCTACAAGGCTGCAGGGTCTGAGATGGGGGGGTGGGGGTGGGGGTGGTACCGCTGACCCTTGATGGCCTGTCCTCACAGCACCCCCGAGGTTCCTGCCTACCAGCGCTTCCATGTGCTCGCCCAGCTGGGCCTCCCTGGCCTGGCCCTACCCTACAAGTACCAGGTGCTGGCCGAAATGTTCCGGAGCATGGACATGGTCGTGAGCATGCTGCACAATCGCACCGAGGCTGTGACCTTCATTAAGGTTAAGCAGGGCGTCCAGACCATGCTGCACAGGTGAGTGGTCTGCAGGGCTTTGTCCGGTGCCCTGCCTGGTTGCCTCTGACCCCTGCACCTCACCCTGCAGACGCTTTGAGGAGCGCAACGTGGGCCAGATCAAAACGGTGTACCCCGGCTCGTACCACCTCCGCCAGGAGCGCAACATCCCCTCCTTCAAGGACGGCGTCAAGAGGACGGACTACCAGCTCACCATCGAGCCCCTGCTGGACCAAGGTAAATTGGCAGCTCATGTGGTCCGGCCCAGGAGGGGCTCCTGTTCCCCCATGAGGCCTGGGGCATCGGCCATAGCTAACTTGGAACTTCCCTAGAGTCCGGCGGGACAGCCACCAAGCTCTCTGCATCTTGGCTCCTGAGACGGCGGCACATCTTCAGCCAGAACCTGGTGGCCCGCGTGAGGGAGCATCACAAGGTGAGCAGCAGGAGGTCTGCTGGTGCGGGCTCAGGGTCTAGGGCCCATCTTCTGTGGGGCCAGGTGGGTCTGTCTGTCTTCTCGGTCTGAGAGACCACCAGCTGGGCCTCCTCACTCTCCCCTCCCTATAGGCCTTCTTGGCCACTCTGAAGCCCCCCCTGGAGGTGCCGGACGACCTGCTGACCCGCTGGCACCCTCGCTTCAATGTGGATGAGGTGTCCGACATCGAACCGGCTGAGCTGCCCCAGCCGCCTGCCACAGAGCAGCTGGCCACTGCTCAGGAGCTGCTGTCCCGAGCCCGGAATCTGATGTCGCCCAGAGTGAGTCCGCCGCCCTGGGGAGGGTTCTGGAGCTTGGCCAGGGCCATGGGGCATTCAGCCTACCTCCACGGAGTGACTCACCCAGGGGCCATCTGTGGGTCTCTGGCCAGACTGCCACTGCCTGCCCAATTCTGGTCGCTCAGCTCTCGGTCAG